CACGTTTTCCTCGGCTTGCTAACATTTGCATATACGTAGTGCTTACTTTTCAGCCCTTTGCCGAAAAAAAAGAGACCACGACTAAAAAGACAAAAGACTCATCATGCATCAGCTCCTAAGACTACACCAACCTTTCCTTTGCCTCAAAGCAAGTACCAAGGTGATTGAGATGGTTGTTGTAGGGTTTTTTTGGACTGTTTGACTGTTTTCTTAAGAACATGGCCAAACAGCCCAAAAAACCTACAACAACCCTTGGATCCTGGCCATGAAAGCCTTTTGAGAATAGATTGAGATGATCTTGCTTATTTGAGCTTGATTTCAGAAAGAGAGATGTCCTGAAGACAGGCACTCCCTAGAATGGAGCCAAATAACCCATCAAGCTCTGAGCAAGTTCTTACCTCTTTGCCAGATTCCTGGAGGTGCTCAAACTTAAAAGTCTTCTGTTCTTCAGAACTGGTCTCCTGAATCTGCATCTGCCTCCTCTCCTTTCACCCTGAAAGAAAAAAGGGCCCGCAAGTGACAAAAGACACACCAAATGGCGACATCTGCAAACAGGAAGTTATGCCTCCTCCTCACTACTACTGTGGCATGGTACCATACTTCTTTTTAGGGACCTGAGTGGCCACTTTCCTATCCGTACTAACCAACACAATGAGACAAGTCAGCTTGTGCTATTGGTATTGATAATTAAGTGTTGGGTAGCCCATTTCATTGGCTTTGAATGCACTCACTGCTGCTGTTTCCATACAGCCATCAGCCACGTGGGTGAGAGATCTCATAAACCCAGTCACATGAACCAAAGCACTCCCATAGAGCCTTGGTTCCAGAAATCTCCCCTTCAAATTCCAAGAGATCTCATGATTCCATGCTGCTCAGTATTGAATTGCCCCCATGAACTGCACACCACACCAGCCACCACTCTCTCTTTTCAAATTGCTCCAGCTTGCTTACCTCAGTGGGTTCTCCAAAGCTCTAGAGATACATCAGTGGACAAACCACCATCCAAACCATTCTCCATCACAGTCATCCTCCACATCTCCAACAGATGCAACTAAGCACTGACACAGGCACCAGGCTAAATCAGCATACCCAAAACTCAAACAGAAGCTCCTTCAATACCAAAATCATCAGCATCATTGGTCCATCACCCACGCTTCCTTCCTAAGAATCAGCATCTCCAGTTCCACAACACAGAGCTGAGAGCTAAATCATCTAATCAAAACCAAAAATCTCGAATCTAGTCATTGGTATTGGCAACAGTTTCTTCCACCTCAGTTGAACAATCTGTTGAACAAGATGCACTTGTTCAACAGATTGAACACACACCTCTCAGTTCCAATACTGCATCACTTCACCCCAAGGATCCCCACACAAAGAAACACAAAACTTATCAGGTATTTATCTAATCCTCCTCATCCAAACATGAATCGCCTGGGTAAGAAAACAAGGATGTTGTCACTGACAGTTTCCATCTGAAAAGGAAGACTCCAACAACTCATCATTTTTTTGTTTGTTTGTTTGATTTATTTGATTTATACCCTGCCCATCTGGCCTGTAAGACCACTCTAGGCGGCTAGTGTCCTAGTGACAACTCTGGAATTGATGCAAATGACAACAACCCCCCTCCTTCCAAAGACTTCACTTCCTATTTGGATATAGTCATTCATGTGATAAAATCCATACAGTTGAAGGTATAACAGGCTCCTCTGCTAGGGTCAGACCCTGTATATGACCAGATTAACAAAAATGCTACTATCACAGACCAGATCCAAGGGCTGCCACAGTACAGCCCAAAGCAACAGGAAGGGAAGGAAGATGGATATGACTAGGAGGAGGATCTATTGTATAAGCTGCTTTAGGAATCAGGATTGCTAAGTGTCAGGAAGCCATGGGGTGATAACACAATTTTATCTAGGAGTAGATCCAGCCTTTTAATAGTCTACCTACCGTAAGGACAAAAGAGTACTGGCCCTCACATTTCCACAGGAGGCCATGGCACTGGTAGCTCAGGAGATGCATATTGCCCATCATGCCATGGGCTGTGCTGCTGTAGTAGCCATCAGTTAATCCACTTGGTTTATATCACATATATATCAAAGGGTTCTGTGAGGGCCTCTTTAATGAGAAAATTGACAATATAATGGATAATGCTTACAAAAAGCAAGCTACAGTGAAGCATATGGGTTTCTCATCTCAGTCCTACCAAAATCCTATCGGCCTCTTACCTGCAATCCACCAGATACTCCTCCAACAGGCAGAGGACTTCACCTGTGGCCTCCTATCAACACTTGCAGAAATCAGCAGGAGCACGAACCGAAAACTGAACCGCAAACCAGTTTTTCGGTTCGCTATGAACTGTCATAACCCACTATTTTTTCAGGTTCATGCCCATAACTGCTCACCTACCATTGGTCCTTGACCCGGACTCACAACAAAAGGACACAGTCCCTCACCCCAACCTACCCAACAGCTTGGAAAATTCAGCTGCCCTGAAAAGTATTTTATTTGAAGCAAAAAAACAATCTAGCAGGTGCAACTGCACATATAAATGGTTTTGCTAAATCATGGCACAAGTCTTACCTCCCGCCTAAGTTGCGTATCATACTATGTTTCTTCCAAAGGAGAAAGGTCTGTCTCATTCCTCCATCAAAGTGTATTTATTGGCAGCTGTTGCACATCCATCACCAGGTTGAGCAGATTCACATTTCTTCTCACACCCAGTCCTCAAGAGGCTTTTGAATGGCCTGAAAAATTTAACCAGACATCAAACTCCTGGTACCACAGTAGTCACTTGCCATGGTGCTAAATGAACTTATGAAACTGCAGTTTGGACCTATGGCATCTTCAGATCCCAGGCTGATGACCTACAAGACTGTTCCCCTGGCTGTTGTCAGTTCTGCATACAGGGCTGGCATATTGGACACATTCAGGTGTGATCCACCTTTTCTAAAATTTTATAATATTCCCCATCCTCTCTTTCATACCTAAAGTGGTCTCAGAGTTCCTCCTGAATCAGTTCTTGGTGCTTCCTACCTTTTCCCCATCATCTAGTTTAGAACTAGAAAAAGTCACTCCAGACTTTGGGCATCTGCAGGGCATTAACCTTTTACACATCAAGAATAAGGAGTTTCAGAATGTTCACCCCACTTTTTGTTAGCTACGAAGGCTCAAAGAAGGGTCAACATATTACATCTCAAAGATAGTCTAAATGACTACGGTCCTAATGTTACCAACTAGCAAAGAGAACACTGCCCAGTTTCTTGAAGGGGCACTTTACCAGAGTTGTCACTGCATCAGCAGCACTTCTAAGAGGAGTTCTGCTGAGAGAGCCCTCAAAATCAAACATTGCAGATTGGATGTTGGAGCCAAACTTGATGCTGCATTTGGCAGAGTATTGATCACCTCTGTACTAGTGTGACATCCCACCAGCTGGTAAGTGAGCTTACTAATCACCCATATGTGTGATTTCACAGAGACCATGAAGAAGCTCAGGTTGCTTTCCTGTAACTATACTTATTTGAGTGGTGATCTGTGAATTCACACAACCCATCCAGCCTCCCATGCAACTCACATTTCCTTACCAGCAGTGGACTTGGGGAACTGAGGACCTGATGCAGATTGGGGAGTCTGTAGAGTGGAGAGGGCATGTCTTAACACTTCCCTTATGCTCTGGAAGATTATGAGGTCATTCAGACAGGAGAAAAGGGAACCTCATGTGTGAATTGAGATATGACCACTCAAGAGAATCACGGGGTACAGGTAAGCAACCTGTCCTCCTTCATGCCTTTGCTGTCTTCCTTTAAAGTAAGTAAATCCCAAAGGAAGATAGAGTATTAATCTTTTTATTCTTTGTTTCAGAGGAGTTTTTAAGAAGTTGCGCAGGGCACAGAGGGACCTTGTGTGGGTGGATGACAAGTCCATTGCACCACTGCAGTCCTAGTCTGAATGAGGCTACAAGATGCAATGAGACAGAAAGCTGTTGTTTTGCAAATAGGATTTTTCCTTTCATTACAAGCTGATGTGAAAAGTCTTGGTTTTAGTTGGGAATGGAGCTGAGGCAGAGTTGAAGCCCACTCCATAGTCCTAATCAGTTTCTCCCTTCCTGACCATCCTATTTATATATTTATTTAAGTGTAAGGGCTAGAGATGGGCATGAATTGAAAAATGAATCACCAAATTCATTCCAAAAATGTGTTGATTCATATTCGTATGAACCAATACCCCCAATGAATATGAATCAACAAATTCTTAAGGATTTTTGATTCATCAGTTCATTTGGCTATAAAATGCACACACACCCCAAACCCGGCACCTAGAAACATGAGAGGAAAGCTTCCTCTGACACTCCTCGACAAACCCTCCAAGTTTGGTGAAGATTAGATTTCAGATGTCTTGAGTTATACACCCACAAAGAGGGCCCTCCAAGGAAAGTTCACCCCAGGCACCTATCTGTTCTGGGATAAACAGCAGTAGCTGTTTTGGGATAAAGATACATTTCAGATGTTGGGGTTGCCATGGTGATCTTCATGGAACATTTGTATGTAGTGTTGGTAAATTTACAGTGGCATCATAATTTATGTTGAAGGCACACTGCTGTGCTCACAATTAGAAAATGCTGTACTATTAAAATGCATAGTGAGAGAAAACATGTAAACATTTTGGCCCCCACCCAGCTGTGAACCCAGTTCAGTGAGAGCAAGTTTGCTATTTCCACTGTAAGAAACTATTAACACAACTGATGTTTATGTAAATCCTGCCACATTTATTTTGACCTCTTTATCTCTTAACAGAATTGTTTTGCAGCAGCACCCTATCAGGATTGTGATTGCTGATTGCCATTTTTATTGATGGCTGTTAAGCTACCTTTGTGTGTGTGTGTGTGTGTAGCAAATCTAGAGGCAACTTGCATTACTATGACTATCATATTCATGTTATAAAATATATTTCTGTCAGAAAAATGTGTGTACTTTAACTTTAGCCTCTTCTCTCTTTACTTTTAGATGAGGAATTACTAATTGACAGAGTGACATATGCTAGTATGATTAATCCAGAGGATCGATGGAAGGCATTACAGTTGAATGGCCATGTTGCTCATTTTGAAGCACAAATACGAGTGAAATGTGATGAGAACTACTATGGCCCACAGTGCAATAAATTCTGTGGCCCTCGTGATGACTTTGTGGGCCACTACACCTGTGACCAAAATGGAAATAAAGCTTGTATGGAAGGCTGGATGGGTGAAGAATGTAAACAAGGTATGATACTTCTCATATTCTAAAATTTGAATATTGTGCTTGACTGTTAAAGTGCTGGATGCTGTCTGCATGATTTCTTCAGGGTGTAGGCTACAATCATATTGTTACTAAATTAATTATACCAGTGTTTCCCAAACTTGGATAACCCAGGTGTTCTTGGACTGTAACTTCCAGAGATCCCACCCAGCAAAGATGGTGGTGAAGGTTTCTGGGAATTGCAGTCCAAGAACACCTGGGTCACCAGAGGTTGAGAACCACCAAGTTAGACCATTATTATACCTAGCCAAATATTGGCTACTTCAACTAGCAGTAAGTAATTGGTACTTTAGAAGTCTTCCATGGCTGTGACTTCTGAGACTGACAGCTGTTTTAACTGAAGATGCTAGGGATTGAACCTGCATCTTTTGTATCCAAAGCAGGTGCTTTACTAGAGTCTCATCATTCTCTCTCTCTCTCTCTTTTTTTCTTTTTGCTGAAACAGCGAACCTTCCTAAAAATAACTAACTACTGTTGTTATATCCATATATTTACTTATTTGATAGTGTATTTGTACTACTTTTAATTTTTAAGAATCTCAAGACTGGTTTATAATAAAAGCAAATACATTAAAACTAGTAACTAAATAAATGATACATTAAAAGTCATAACTAAAAAGAGCAAATGATCCATGCAGAATCCATTAAAACAATTCCTTGAAAATCAGGATCAACTGGTAATGGTAATAGAAATATAATCAAGGAAATGCCTTGTTAAATTAGTAAGTCTTCAAGTAATACCGTATTTGCCGACGTATAAGACGACCCCCCAAAAAACATTTCCACTCAAAATGTAGAGTGGACGGGTCTGCTGCGGTGGCGGCTGCCCGGGACTCTGCCCAGGCTCGCCCTTGAAGTTCGGCTGGCGGCGGCAGCGGAGAAGGAGGGGAAGCGGCTTTCCGGCGGCGGGCAGGCAAGCGGGCAGTTTGCTCAGTGTCGAGGAGGAGGGGAAGCGGCCAGGCGGGCCCAAGGAGGAGGGGAAGCAGCTGGGCGGGCGGCGGCAGCGGACGAGGAGGAGGAGGGGAAGCGGCTCTCCGGCGGCAGACTTTGGCCGCTCAGGCATGGCCAGCTCTGCTTCCCTCCCTCCGTCCGGACCAACTGCCTCCCTGCCCTCCTGCCTTCCTCCCCGACCAGCGCGACCCCGTGTCACTCACTCAACGGTGGCAGTGATGGCTCCTTCCTGGCCCAACTGAAGTGCACCCAGCGTATAAGATGACCCCCCCATTTGGAGGCATGTTTTTTGGGCCAAAAAGTCGTCTTATATGCCGGCAAATATGGTACATAAGGAACTTATACTGGAAATGTCCCTGGTCTTGCTGGGAAAGATGGTCTTCTCTGCATCATAGCCAGATATTCCTAGCCTGTTTTATTGTAATATATTTATACCCTGCTTTTTTACTAAAAGATAGCACTGAAGGTGGCTTACAAACACGTTAAAACAGATACTGTAAATCCAGATTTAACCAAAAAGTCATATAACCAAATCAAATAAATGTATCAAAAACAGTTAAACCAATAAAGGGTACAGCTGAAACAATACCACAGGCAGGTTAGACATGAGAAGCCAATCTAAAAACTCATCTTGAAACCAGTCAAAGTAGAAACAGATTGTAGCTTGGAAGGGAGTGCATTCTGTAGTCTATGAGCCACACAGGGGATGGTCCTTTCCCATGTGCTTTTTTAATGATTTAAATTTTTAAAAATGATTTTTTTAAAATTTAAAGCATGATGTAAATCAATTTGATTTTTTTTAAAAAATGATTTTTATCCACAGTGTCTTAATGTCTGGATAGATCCATAGCAGGACAAAGCAGTCCCTTAAATAGCCAGGGCCCGAGTCATTTAGGACCTCAGAAGTCAAGAGCAACACCTTGAATTGGACCCAGTAATCAACTGGCAACCAGTGCCTGTCTTTAAGTATTGAGGGCAGTATGTGAAAGTACTCAAGGCAGCTTTCAGAATCAGAGATCTTGCTGAGTTTGGCATACTGTACTTTGTGTGATGATGACCTTGCAGTTCTCTTTGTTGTACTGTGGGTTAAATCGGGAGCAGTGTTTTAAGTTGCTTTCTTTCCAGTGTAGTACAAACTTAATGACTGTATGAACAAATAAAGCAAGCTCATGTAGTATGTAAAGTCTGAATTTGCACTTAGGGAGCAATTTGTAGACCAGCTATGGTTCAGCTACTTCATATGTATATGAAATTAACTCTAGTTTACAGTGGACTGTTGTTGTTTTAAGCAAAAAAGTGTGCTGCTTATAAATCGCCTCATAGCGCTTCAAGCACTCTATGGGTGGTTTACAAGTTAATTATGCAGGCTACACATTGCCCCCTCCCCAGCAAGCTGGGTGCTCATTTTACCAACCTCGGATGGACAGAAGGCTGAGTGAACCTTGAGCCACCTGGGATTGAACTCCGGTGAGCACAGTTTTGGCTGCAGTACAGCAGTTTAAGCACTGCGCCACTATGCATAAGAAGTCATGAGGAAGTTACACATTACAGTATAGCTTTATAGTATCTAATCTGGATGTTTCCTGAAATTGAAAGTTTTCTGGCAATGTGCTGGAATCTGCTTTTATTTCATAAGAGGAAAGTGGAACAGGGAGCACAAAGTCCTGTTCATCTGCACCATTTGACTTTTTTGACATAGAATGTTCATGTCTTTCCTGCCTGTACAAAATATGTATCTCCTTTTATATTCAGATGATTATTCTCCATCACTTGCAATTTGAGACTTTCAGCTATGTTGTAAGATTGTTTGACTATATGTTATTGAAAATACATTTCAGAGAGCAAATGTGTATAAGAAAATACAGTTGTTGAAATATTAGATCAACTCTTTCTAAAGTGCTGAACTAACTGATGTTTAACCCTCTTTCTATTCCTAGCTGTATGTAAACAAGGATGTAATTTAATCCATGGGGGCTGCACTGTACCGGGGGAGTGCAAGTAAGTATACACACAGATTTGGGAGTTGTGTATGTTTTCCAAAATAATATTTTTCAATGATATGTCCTAACAGTTGTAGGAAAGATGTAATGGCTAAGTAGTCTCCCTGAATTTGAAACATAGAAATTTATCTTTGGGAGGACTAAACTGTGTTATGTCAAAGATACAGTTTGACTCCAATGTCCGAAGTGTTCAAAACAGATTCTGTGAATTACCAGTTAATTGCAAAATCCTGAGCAACAGGACACAATTGCTGTTATTTAATGAGAAAACTCTGGGACTTAAGGTGCTTTTCTGACTAATCTCAGCCTTATATTTTAGAAATAGGTAAGACAGGATGGTCTGTGTGTCTGAAAGACCAGGAAATTTTAGGCAACACTTGAGATGCTCACAAGGAAGATACTTGTCATGATAAGCCAGATATGGTTTGTGGTAGAAAGACCTGGAATTTGTAGGGATGCTGGAGGAGGGAGGGTGTATGAATTGAGTTATTTTTGCAGTGGAGATTAATTATCTCTGTGTGAACAGTTTTGTTAAGGTCGTATAAAATACAGTACTGTCTTATCTTATCTGCCCATGTAGAGTAGTTAGATCATCTTATAGGTGCAGCAAAAATTCTAAAATTGTAACAGAACAAAATGATACCTGCAGCAGCTCAACATAGGAATGTTGCATATAAATGTAATGGAGTGAATAGGTTGACCCCTCACTACAATCATGTTACAATGTGAGTACTGTGAAACACATTCAGGCCTCCCCTGGGCAACCATGTCGGCTGATCTGTCCAGTCCAGAAAAACTATTGGATTGCTTCCAACACAAATGAAGATTGTGTTATAGTCAAACGCAGTATTTTTGTCTTCTTTTCCTCTTGCTCCCTTTGTTTGAAAGCACTGAATATTTCATATGGGGAGTTCAATTCCCTACTGTGTCACCTTGATGGGGCTGGACTCCATGATCCATAGCATCTCTTGCACCTCTGCAGTTCTATGGTTATGAAAAATTTCATAAGGTTAAGGCAAAATAAAGGGTATGCTCGAGGACCTTTGAGAAGAGGGCTAAACCTGTTCAGGCTGATGTTTGTGTCCCCAATTTTAGGGCATTTAGTTTTTTCCTGAAGAATGTACTGACAACCCTTGAAATCAAGTTATATCCTGTCATAGCCTCATATTTCCAGCTTGATAGGTCTAGCCTAAATTCTCTTTCTGGGTATACTGTAATATTATCAAATGTAGTTAATTCTCTTCCTTTGTATTTGTGGGAATTGTTGTAAAACTGCTACCTTTATCACAAAGACGTAATATTACTCAAAACCTGGTGGGTTTCCCAAGGGTAGCCTTCACTGATCTAGTGCTCTCCAGGTGGCTTGGATTATAATTTCCACAAGACCTAGTTCAACAATGCTATCCAAACATTTGGAGGGTAGCAGATTGGGATAGGCTGCCCTAGCATTTTACTTCAGATTTATTGAAAATTAATACACCTGGAAGAGTGAGCCACGGTTCACAGACATTTGTGCCTGATATAATATGTCAGACTTTTAGGTGTCAGAAGCCTCTACTGTTTGTTGTTCAATATTAACACATGTGGTTCAAACTATGTAATACCTTCCCCATCTGTTTGAACCGGTGGTAATTTCATGGCAGTAAGTAACAATAAGTTCATAGGGCAAACAGCAGGATAATTTAAGGAGACTCAGCCTCTTTTCTCCTTTTTTACTATCCAAAACTCATCCAGAGATTCCACCAACCCTCTGGAGATACTATTGTTTGTGACAGAAGTCTGTAGGGGTGGGGGATAATTGGACATAACCCATAGGGAATTGCTCATGAGAATTACACCTTTCTTCCATGCACCTCCCTATCAAAGAATCCTTTATGTAGTTATGGATATTTTTTGTGGGTTGAGGGAAGGAGAAGAGGGAGTGGATGAGTTTTAAATTTAAATTAAATGACCTGTATTTTAAATTACTTGCATGCTGACTCTCACACAGTCAGCTACATTTTTCTTCCATTGTTATCCTGTATTCCAGAGAAAAACTGAAAATAAGAGGATGTTAGTATATTGAAATTTTATTTTATTATTTATTTACATATTTTACCTCACCTATTTCCTTAAAAAGAACCCAACACAGCTAACATCATTGAAAGAATATTTGAAGCTAAAAGAAATAACTGTACAAATATTAAAAAAGGAACAAACAAAATGCCACTCTGAGAAATGGTAAACAAAAGCAATACTAAAAACACATTCAAAGCAGTAAGACATAACAATCCATTAAAAAATCCCACTGAGGCAGCCAGTCACTGAGGGAAAGCTCGCCAGAAAAGAAAGGTCTCACCTCCTTGCAGAAGGACAGCAAAGATAGGGCCAGCCTAACCTCCTGTGGGCGCAAGTTCCAAAGTCTGGGAGTGTTAACAGAGAAGACCCTCTCCTCACCAAACACCCGTGAAGGTGGTGGGACGGAGAGAAAGGCCTCTCCTGATGATTTTAACATGTGAGCAGGTTCATAATAGAAGACACAGTCATTGAGATTACTTGGATGCATGCAGTTTATGGTTTGCTTTCTCAGAGAATGTAGAGCATAATGTACTCCATATAGCATTAAAGAAATTAAATGATCTAATCCAATGTTGGCGAACCTATGGCACGCGACGAGTTAGTGGCACTCTCACTCGCCCTTGTGGATAGAAACCTTTTGAAGTGGCTGCAGCCGGGATTCCCCCTTTCGCTTCCTGTTCTGCATCTGTTGCCATGATTCCTCCCCCTTTTTCTTCCTGTTCTGTATCCGTCACCATGATTCCTCCCTCTTTCTCTTCTTGTTCTGTGTCTGTCGCCATGATTCCCCCTGCAACTGCCACTTCCAGTTCCAGTCTTCCGGGTGGCACGACAGTCACTGGTTTCTCTCCCCCCCCCCATATTGGGCACACGAGCCCAAAAAGGTTTGCCGTCACTGATCTAATCCCTCATGACCCTTTCCCAGTGGGTAGCTGTGTTCATAACTGGCTAAAATTGTGGATTGGAAGAAGTTCCTATCCGTCATTTTAAAAAAAGTCAGGGTATACAGTAGAGTCAGAATTACCCTGACTCTTCATTGAGATCTATTTTTGTTTCTTGTATGTTACTTAGTATCATCTTAGATGTGAAAACTAAAAGACTACCGTATTTGCCAGCGTATAAGACAACCCCCCAACATTTCCACTCAAAATGTAGAGTTTGTTATATACTCGCTGTATAAGACGATCCCCTCTTCCGCATGTGTGATTCTGCTTTGGCTGCATCATGGGGAGAGTTCGTTTTGCCGCTTTTGGTTCCTTTCGCTGGGGGAGAGCGAGGGTGCAGCCCCCTTCTCTCTCCAGCCCCACTTGGGACTTGGCCCTTTAAGGGAGGGAGGGGGTGTCCTATGTCATTAGAGGGAGGGGGGAGATGAAAGGCTCGTGCGTTCCTTTGACTTTGCCGGCAGGACTCAGGGAAAGGCAGGGTCTCCTTACCCCCCCTACACACACATACACCCCCACACACTTGATGAAGCCTTAGGGCCTTGCCGGGGCATTGGTCGCTCTGCCTCTGGGTGTAGTATCTTTGAGTCCCCCTCCCTCCGGAGGAGACCCAGAGGAAAAAAAAATGCCTTACAAGCAGGTTGAGCAGCGCAAACCAGCAAACCGCAACGAGACTGGCGGGGAGCTGGCCTGACTTCTCGCTGCGGCACCACGGTTTTGCCACCGCGCCCAGGGCAAGCATCCTTAAGTGAGCAACAATCAAGAGGGCTGGTCCATGGAGGTGCGGAAGCCTTTAGCTACCCCCCCCCCTGTTTGTGTGTGTGAGTGTGTGGATGTGTGTATCTATGTGTGTATGTGAGTACGTGTGTTGCTTTTGAATTTTGAAGTGCACCCGGCGTATAAGATGACCCCCCCCACTTGGAGGCATGTTTTTCAGGGCAAAAAAGTCATCTTATACGCTGGCAAATACGGTAAAAGTAATTTCGGTCCTCAAATAGAGAACGAAACCAGGCATTGTGAAGACTGAAGAGGGCATTCCTCATGTGCTGAATGTGTTTGATGGTCAAAGCAGGAGATTTTCCAACTTCCTGTCATTTGTAAATTAGCTTGCTTTGTTAGTCTTTTGAACATTAGGGATGAGCTAATAAAAGACCCAAAATACAAAAGAAGTTCTCCTTTCTGTAATTTGTGTTCTTTTGAAGATTGTCAGAAGAGAGCTCATAAAACACGCATGATTTGTGTTTTTTTTGTTGGGGTTTTTTTTTAAAGGAGAGACACTTAAAAGTTTCATATTTCATGATTGCCTTTCAGATCTCGTGAGAAATTTTTCATCCAATAGTGTTGTGAAGGCTGTCATCAGCCAGCCAGTCAGAATGTTGAGGGGTGGGTGGGAATTTTGAAATTGTAACATGGTTGTGTAAACTGCATAGTTCCAGGGTATACCCAGATGAAGGGAATGCGTACTCAGAACCACTTCAGAGCATTCTTTACCTGGAAAATCCTGAAGAGGGTCATAAGTCAGAATTGACTTGACAGCACACTGGACTGTGTAGATGCCTACATAGGTCCGATGATTTTGTTGTTGTTGTTGTTGTTGTTGTTGTTGTTGTTGTTGTTCATGCAGAAGTGCCTGCTTTTGGAATTGATTGCTTCTCCCATTTCTCCTCCTAAGGCCTCCAGGCTCCCATGTAATCATTCTCCTCATTTGGAAGGCAGTGGAGGCTAAGGGAGGGGAGAGGAAGTTTTTTACTTATTGAAAATTGCCAACAGCCAGGGATAGAAAGACGGTCCTCCCACCTAATGGATCCATGTCCATACCAAAAGCCCACATTGCTCAAAGCTATGATGAAAAAAACCTGTAGTTTCCGTCACTGCAAAGTAACTTCTGCTGTAATGCCAAGTAACATGTACACAAACTGTATTAGAGATAAAATGTTTTATGTGCCATCAAGTCATCTTATGGCAACTCTATGAATGAGGGTTCTCCGAAATGTCAACAGCC